TAAAAAATTAAAGAAAAATTTATGTTACTTAAGTCCTTAGAATGCAGAAGAAAAACATATTATTTCACTCTCTCTGCCTCCATTTCACCCCATTCCTGACTTCCAGGGAAAAGGAGAATGCTGTTTTAATCAGTTTCCTTCTTAGGCTTGTGGCTCCTCCAAATTACAATTGAACTATATTCTGGTGAGAAATGGACTCTGTATGGTTGATTTTTACTCTTGAGAACGTTTACCAGACACTTGTTCTCATGTGACACTTAACTAGACATCTGTTTCAATGGCTGTGGCAGGAAAGGCATTTCACAAAAGCCTTCCTTGGGCAGGCTGGGCACTGCTGGGGTTTCAAGACCACCCTTGTATTTTTCTCAAGAGAAAGTAAATGTCACCTCTTGAGTTACATTAGCATAAGCAGACCTGGGGAATTCAAGGAAGGTGGTCATCCTGACATCATGAAATTCCCATACAATGTCTCACAGAATTTCCACTATGTACGAACACAAGGGCAGTAAATAGGAACTATGATACCTAGTCCCCTTTGGGATTGAGACAGCCTACTTCTAACTTAATACTCTGGGGGTCCGCAGGACTTCATTAATCAAGCTGAAAGAAAAATACAGGTGAATCTACTGAAATTGGTTAGTGATGTCAATTACACGGCAAGTGTTGGTTGACACTATCAGTTGTTAAAAACACTTGTAGTGTAATTGACATCACTAAATAATTGAGACTGAGAGGTTGAGGAGCCCTGTAGGAGCCAGCCATTGCACACTTACTCATTTTCAAACATCATGTGTAGTTATTATTATTATTACCCCAACGTAGGAATTAAATTATTATCTCAATCTTAAAATTGAAGAAAGTGAAATTCAGTGAGATTTGAAGTAATTTGTCCAGGTGAATACCCACTGCCTAGAGATTCTTCAAATCCAGTGTCTTTACACTATTTCCCGAGGAGCCACCCCAAAAACATTGCCCCAAAACTCATAAAAAGCACTTTAGCACTCAAAAAATTCTGACTATTTGCAACCTCATTGTTACTTTCTAATATTTGTCCACTATAATTAAGACAAAGAGAAAAGGCTCGTGTCCACGGTTTATCTAGTCTTGAGAGATCCAATAACTGCAAAGGATTAGGTGAACGGAGAAAATCTGCTAAAACAATAAAGATTCCATACCCATTCTGAGAGAACATTCAAGTTGTCTTTATACCTACTCAGCATTTTTCCTCAGCAGTTACCTGGTTTCCAGCTTACCAGCTAAGACCGTCATTAAGAAGAGAAAGAAGGTGTGAAATGAGTAGGTACAAACTACATTAAGGTAAAGGCCTGGACAAATCAAAGCATTTCTTTCAACAGAATCAGATACCAAGGGCAATTGCTTTTGACAAATAATAGTCCACAGGTCTTCTTCGGATATTTTTGAAAAAAATTTTTTCACTAGAGATCACAAAAATAAGACAGAACAATGTTACAAATCCTATATTTAGTAGGTATTGTTTATTCCAGCTTGTAAAGTTCAGTAGTGCTTGATGTAAGTTTAGGCCTGTAAACGAACCTCTTAGCTTAATGCACCAGGTACACTGGGATAAATGGGAAGTGAGCTTATTAAGTGAGGGAAAGACTAGGTAGGCTTTCCCTTTAAAAACACATATTTAGAAAGGAAGAAATTGATTATGTTCCAAAGACCAGTATGAAAGCACTATAAAGTAATATTCTATACCAACCAGTTTGTTTCAAGTTATTTGTAAGATTTTATAGTGTGTGTATAAACACATATGTATATGTGTGCATGTGTATATACATGACACCTTGTTTTTAAAAATGGGTGTGGATTTTGCAATTTTTACAAAACTACCATGATTAACACAGACATCCATTTTAGGGTGATCAAATCTCCCCCAAATGAAAGTTTCTCTCTGATGTCACACTCCACTTATCTTGACTACGGAATAAAAATGCTTCAAATTTTTCTTAATTGTGAAATTAAAAAATAAAGAGACAGAACACATCACCTCTTGCACCATCAGATCCAGGAGGATTATGGATCCTGGTAAACCCACAAGGATTAGAAGAGACCTCCAAGAATAGAGAGCCGAAATGCTTAGGGCTCTCCCATTGGGCCTTTAAACTAGGGTGATGTGGGGAGAAACGGTCTCTTCTACACGTCACAATGGCAGGCTGAAGACCAGTTCAAGAACAGAAATGCCACTGTCATTGTTGGTGCATTTTCTCAAAAGCCTCAATTTCTCTACCTGCTAAAGCTTGGCAAAAAGCTAGCTGGCTAAATGATTAAGGGAAATGATAGAAAATTTTAAATTCTGTAATAATTTTTAAAATTCGATTTAAATACTATCTCACTCAAAAACCTAAGACACTGAGTTTGCGATATGCTGGTATATATTTGCTATTGAATTTGTTCTATAGTCCAACATACCCCTCACCAAAAACACAACCTAAAGGAAAAGAAAAAAGAAAGAAGCCCCTACACGTAGCTCTCTAAATCATAATGAAACTCAATACTAAGGAGTACAGAGGGTACAATCCGTGGCACCCCCAAGACAGCTAGACAGCCACCCCAGCCAGAAGATGGGCCCTGATATACTGAAGGTGGTCAATATCAAGTTCTCATCAAAAAGGACAAAAGAGATGATTTCCATTGCTGACACGTGTTATTCCACCAGGATGTACTGACAATACTTAAGCATAAAGCCCTGTTAAACACAACCTACCACTGCAGAAAATTTCATATTTGGCTACTATTGGATATACACAATAAATCCCTTTTTGGGTGGTAAAAACAAACTAGCCCAAAAAGAAATCTAAATGGCCATAACCTGGAAAACAGATCATATGAAAAGAAAGTCAGCCATCAAAGGTGTATCATGGCTTCTGTTAGGTAACCGGGGGGTGGGGGGTGGGGGGGTGGGGGGGAAGGATCATTGCGAACTTCACCAGCTTCACCCCAACGGCTGCCTTCTTCCTCCCCCTATCAGTAGATTTCCATCTGGACGCCATTCGCCTTTTGGAATCCTCAACGCAACAATGAGGTAGGGGTCCAGAGAAAAACAGAAAGTGTTAGGATCCTGACAAGGTAACCATTTTCTTCTCTCTGGTTTTGGTAGGCCATCTTGTTCGAATAAACGCCAAGATGTCTTAATTTTCCCCAAGTGGTGTCACTAGAGGCAACGCCCACTGACAGTTTTGAGGCCACAGTGCCTTAATCAAATGACCAACAAAGATCTGTCAAACGTTTAATTGATGCAAATTAAGAAAGCACCCTCACTGCGGTAAGATACGTTACGGGAAAAAGAACAATGAGCAGTACTAGAAAGGAAGAATCTCGGTGTGCGGGTACAGAATTTTTAATCCATAATTTGCCCTCATCATCGAGGCAAATCTTAATTTTGGTCCACTGAAATCAGTAAGAAAGCAAAAGCTGAGAGACAGCCTGGAAAAGAAGAAATCTACACACAGGCGGGAAAAACTGTCATTGGTGTCCAAGGGTTTCCCGCAACATTTAGGGCAAACGCCTTTGTTCGTCGGCTCGGGAGGGGAGTGGGTGGCTGGATGATGGAGATGGGATGGGGCTGCCGGGCCCTCCACACCCAGCTCTCCGGCGCATGCGCGAGGCCAAGACAAAGGAATAGGTAATTACAGTCCCGATTCATTCATTTTGCCTGCAGTACTGGGGGTCTGTTAGCCCGGGCTGTAATCCCCGGGTGAAGGGGGGAAGTCGGCCCACACCCCTATAGCAGAAGGCCATTTCGATGCTAGTGTTGGGTTTTAGCCCGCCCACAGTGCGAGTGGCCGCGGGGGAGACAGAGGTGTGTCAACCCTGTACGAGGTACTCAAAAATGCCCACATGTGCGCTGTGCTAATTTCAGCAGAGTGAAAATTACAAGGCCAAAGGCTGTCCACCGAGTTCGTTTCAAGGCGGAAATGTCTCCGGGGAAGCAGATAAGAAGCCCGGCCAAGCGTTCGATGAATATTCATGAAAAGAATGCGGTTTGCAGCCGCGCATTGTGCGTGCGATCGGATCCAGGATTCTGAAATTTTTATTTTTCTGGAGTTGGAAGGGGGACGGGGACTGGGGGAGCAGGAACCCGGCGTCGGGTTTCAGCGTTAGCGCTTTGGGCAAAAGCTGTTCAACCCCAACCTCGCGCTCCCAGCCTGGCTGAGCCTCGCTAAGGCCGCGCGCTGTCAGGTTCAAGCCCACACCCCCCAGGCCGGGGCCGCGGCCCAGGGCGGAGGCGCCCTGCGCATTCTTGGAACAGAAGGCTCGAAAAAGCAAATCGCTCCAAGGCAGCCCACGGGTTAGTAGGAAGGCAGCGATTCCGCCACCGACGAGGCTGGGGCTCCGATCTGCTCCGGAGGTGCTTCCGAGTGCACGTTGCCGTGTGAACCTCGTATTCCTTGGCCACCAGAACCAAGATCCCGGAGTCCCACGGGTCGGGAAAACCCATTTGCCAAAGCAAAAACCGGCCCCTTCCTTCGGATCGAGCCAGATTCCCTGTCTTCTTTCTCCCGGACTCCCGCCCCACCCCACCCCCCACCCTCCATCTTTGGCGGCTGCGCCCCTCGCCCCGAGCGCTTTCTCCCCGGCTGGGAAGGGCTCCGGTGACAGAAGCGCTCCTTTCAGCCCACAGAACCGTCTCCCCGGGCCTCCACGCGCTTAGGGCGTTTCGCATTTGGCAATTCCTCCCTCACCCGCAGCTTCTCTCCCCGACAGCCCCCTCCCCCCAGCTCCGCTTACCAGCCTCGCCGCCCCCCCGCCCTTCCCACCCTGCGAGCGGCCGAAGCCGCCCACTTCGGGGCCCCCCATCACCCGGGATCCCCGAAGTGCACAGAGGGACCCCAGGCCCTCGCCATCTACTGCGTGCCCGCACCTCCGCTGCCCGCTTTGCTGAGGGAGAGCCGGAGGCTGCGGGGCGGGGCGGGGCGCGGGGGGACAGAGGCCCCCGGGTCCGCGGCGGCGCGGGGCCACAGGGCGCGCCTCCTTACCGGCTCTGGGTGCCTGTGCAGCCCCTGGGTGAGCGCGGTGCCGCCGAGGGGCCGGGGTCGCTGGCCTCGTCCGGCTGGTGCCTGGCCTCTGGCGGAGGCTCTCTCCCGGCTCGACGGCGGAGCCCGGAGCGAGGAGCCAGTTGGAGCGCTGCCGCCGCCGTCGTCGCCGCTGCCGCTACTGCCGCCGCCGCCGCCGCTGCAGCCTCTGCATTTCTCGCGCTCGCTCCCCCTCCCCTTCCTGCCCAGCGCCCTCCCCCCGCGCGTCCGCCCGCCCAGCCTCCCTCCTCCCGCGCTCCCCGCCCGCCGCTTTCCCCTCCCTCCAGCCCCGTGCCCCGCCCGCCTCCCCTCCACTCCCTCCAGCTCCGTGCTCCCCACCCCCTGCACTCCCTCTCCTCCCTCCCTATCCCTCCCTCCGGCGCAGACCCTCCCCCCTCCTCCAGCCCCAACACGCCCGCCTCCGCTTTACTCCCCCCAGCTCTGGGCCCCCACCTCCCCGCCCCTCCAGCACAGTCACCCCCATTTCTCTCCTCTCCTCCATCCTGGTCCCTCCCTTCCCCCTACCTCTCCCCCCTCCCTCCAACCCAGTGCCCCGCCAACGTTTCCTAACTGCCCTCTATTCAGATCTCCCCTCCGCCTCCCCTCTCCTCCCCTCCATTCCGGCGCCCCCCTTCCCCCTTCCCCCGCCGCGCCTGGGCTGTCCGTGGGCTTTTCTCTCTTCTCTCTCTCTCTCTCTCTCTCTCTCTCTCTCCCTCTCTCTCTCTCTCTCTTCCCCCCTTCTCATTTATTCCGAACGGTTGGAGAAGTGCTCGGGCTCTACCTCAGACTTAGGGAGCTGCCTCGAGGTGATGCCTGAAGCCCCCGGGCACCAGCTACCCTTCTCAGACCCCAGTCCCGCCCGCTCCCGACGTTGGCTGCGATTCCGCTACCCTTGCGGGCAGCGAGGTTGGGGTGAGCCCCAGCTGCAGGGGCGTCTGGGCGGCGCCGTTGCAAACGAATTGGGCACCTCGGGCGGCTCCGCACCTGCACCCGCACCCGCAGCCGCACCAGCGGGGCTGAGCCCCGAAGGCTGCAGCTTCGGGGAGGCGCGGCCGCCGAGGTCCAGCTGGCTGGGCGAGCCACGTCGCCCCTCGGAGGATGCTCCCGGGACTTGGGAGAGGAAGGAGGGAAGAGAAGAGGGGAAAGGGGCCGTCGATGTTTCTGGTGTCCGTGCTTTCGTGGAGGCCACCAATACTGAGAAGACGGGGTTGCCCGAGGCAGCCCGCACGTCGCTGCCCGCGAGCGCTCGAGTCGAAGCTGGGGCCAACCGCGGCGTGTCCGGGTGCCCTGGGGGGCGGACACTTGGCATAGCACTGGGACTCAGAATAGCCACCGGGGTTGGGAAATGCGTTCACTTTGCTTACCTGTTGGCAAGAGGGACATGCAAAAATAACGTAACGTGACATCGTTGACAACGGTAGCTCTTTGATTAGACAAAAGCCAATTTTACCTTCCCGCAAAAGCCAGTTGACGCCTTTGGAACTTTTATTTGCGGCATTTTGGCGCCCTCTGGCTGTGTTCGGATGGCTTTCGTGCTCGCCTGCGTCCCAGCAAAGAAAACATCGATTGAGTTGCAGGTTGTCCTCAGGATGGTTCTGCCCTTGCGACCTGGGCGCGAATTCAGGGATAGGGTCGCCCTCCAGAACCGGAGCGCAAACTGTAACCATACTTAGGGAGGCAGACGTCAAAGGGAAGTGCAGCTGTATTCAGCCGGATAAAGGTAAGTGCATTTTCACTTAACAGGAAAATTAACTTCTCATAATTTTAACTTACATATTTAAATTAAGCAAAGTGGCAATGTCTACCCAACCACACTAGCGATTTTGCAGCGGTTACATTTGACGACCCTGCTGTACACATTGACGGGTGGGAAGCAGCACCAAATTAGATTAATGCATGCAAGCTGGAAATGTTCACATTTAAACCAAAGGTAAGAAAAAAATCAGAACTGTTTGTTGGTTTGTTCCTTTTTCTCTTTCTGCCATTTAAAGTGAAATTTAAAAGTTAGTGTGGAAAAAAAAAAAAAAAAAAAAACCAGGGATGCAAATTACAAATGAGGTTGCCTCCAAAACTTTTTATTCTTTTGAACATTTATTTCCCTCACACCAGTACACCATCTATAAAGCTAAACACAGGATGCAGGTTTTCACAACCTCATTTTGAGGACAGATAATTCTTTGTTTAGGAGGTTGTCCTATGCACTATGGAATGATTGGCATTCATTGCTGGCCTCTACCAACAGCCAGTACCACCCTCTCCACACACCACCAGTACTAGCACCAGTTATGACAACCAAAAATGTCTCCAGATATTGCCAAATGTCTCCTGGGAGGCAAAATCACTCCAGGTTGAAAACCACTGAGCTATATTTTCAGCCTTTATGAGCAAGTCTCTAGGTTTTTACCCTATTGAATTAGATGAATATTTGCAAGGTTATGCTCAAGGCATTTCCTGAGTTTGTTAGAGGAGCTGCGTACTTGTTCATTTCGCATTCAGGGTTTTTATTCTTGTGATCTTCCAGGCGTGTAAATCATCTTAAAATTGGCAAATAGATTTTCTCATTGGATTTGCAGTATAAGCCTGTGAGTGTCATCTTCCCTCTCTATTCTCTTTCTCCAATTTTTCCAAAAAAGAAAAGAAAGACAACATAAAAATTAATATTTAGTACCTTCAGCGCTTCCAGCTAAATTTTCACGATGGAGAAAACAAGCCTTTCAAAGGTGTGATTGGAATACAGATCATAGGTTACCATAGAAACCAGAGGCAAAAGCTTACACCAATGAGAAGTGTAGGTCTCCTTCATTTTGTCTTCGTCAGATTCAGTTGTTCTCTTTCAAGGTTTTTTTTTAAAGGATGGTGAGAATTCATCTTCATGAGAAAATGATGCAATTGACTGATAGTGCTATGAATCTTAAGAATAAAATATTTTGCAGAATTTGTAGGTTTGCACCAAATGATTGCCAAGATGTTACATCTCAATGCAACTATATTACTATACAAAATTCGATTTGGTAATGTTTGTAGTCTCATTTTTAGTTGGTTGTTCATCTAACATCACACATTTTTAATGTGTATGCTTTTTAAAACAATTTTTTGAACACACACTTGGGGAATAAATGAATAAACCTTTAAAGTTCTGAATGTTAGAACACTTAACATTAACTATTGTGGATGTGTCTGTTTAGATTATAGACTAATGAACTTGGGAACAAATGTTAAGGGTGTAATTAATGGTGAATTTAATTAGCTTTCCCCATTACGATCATGAAAAAAAGACTGCTTTACTCTCCAAATGGAATGAATATATTTTCAACAAACAAAACTGGATTTCATCAGTTATAAACGAAATTCCATTGTCATTTTTAATTGCCTGCATGACTTGCTCCGGGAAAGCTTACCCTGCATTATGAAAATCTTCATCCAAAAGATGAATTATTCTATGATTGCTGCTTTTTTTCTAAAAGATTTGTCATTGCTTGCAGTATAATGGACTCATTGTCACTTAAATTACTAGTCAGTTTACAAAAATTTCCATGTGTGTTCAGCTTTTCAAATTGTATCTATTGTGTCAACCAAGACACCTACAGTAGATTATTACACAGACCTCATCGAGCCTCAAAACCTCACTCTTAACCTTCCCTTTGCCCACCTCCCACATCAGCCACCAAGGCCTAGCATCTTTCTCAGTTCCCCATCCTTTCCTCTTAAATAATCAAAAGATGATTAAAATCTCAAGTAAAAGATGTAGAGCAAGAATGAGTCAGAAGCATGGTGACCTTAGTGTCACCCGAGTGGGACTCTAGCCACTTTTGCTTGACATCCTTCAGGATAGCTTCTGTTCAGAGCCACTGCTTTTAATCTAAACCCTCAGAAACCCATTTAGAGAACTGGAAAGTAAATTAGCTCTCCTGGTAAATTAGCAGTGGAAGACCAACTTGCTGCAATTTGTTGATAAAATCTCACCTGCAAATTTCAAGCAAAAGGCCAGACGGTATTATTACAGATGAAAGTGTACAGCTTTTTTTTCCCCCTGAAATATATTTATAATTTTTTAACCAAAGAAAATATGGAAATCTATTTGTCTTTCTTCCTTCCTACCCCCAGCCCTTCCCGATTATTACAACCTCACCTTTCACACAGCACAGGGAAAGGGCTTCCTTTGTTTAAATCTGCCCCAATCAGGGGCTATTTTGCTATCCAGAGGACAACTGGAATATCTGGAGGCATTTTTGGCTGTCACTATGGTAGGCTAAAGGGTGAGGAGGAAAAGGTGCTATGGCTCTAGTGGGTAGAAACCAGGGCTGCTGCTAAACACCCCGCAATGTACACAGCACGACCCTGCGACAGTCATCTGGGCCTCAGCAATGGCAAGGTTGAGAAACCCAGGTTCCAATGAGCACAACATTGCTGCTTCGTTGGAAGATGCCTCATCTTTTTTTTCTAAGAGCACATGCTGCCAAGGGAAGCTGCCTCTTGCTGTGGTTTACGGTATCTTTAGCAGGGCAGCAGGCTTGGAGGCACAACATTTAATGGAGAATTCTCTTTTAACAAGGGCCTGCGATGCACAGTGCACGCTGAGCACCACCGTTCTCCACGGTAACACAAATTGAGGCAATAATTTCAAGAGGAATGTCAAAGCTTCAAAACAGGGATTTAGAATTCCATTTCCTGTTACCCACACCTAGTAACTGGAAGAAAATGACTTAAGCTCCATTCCCTATTTAATTTCCTCTTCATGTACTGTAAAAGGATAGCTGGGAAACCCGAGCAAACATTTGTTTCCTATGAAGCACCGGACTTGAAATGGAAGGGACAGCCTGGCCTGGGGGCTACGTTAGGAACATTTGCCCAAGATAGAGGGGGATAAAAACAATCCTGTCTACCTGAATAGCTCATTCCCAACCCCCTTCTCCCTTTCATACTCTCTAATTCCTCCACCTGTCTTTTGAGTCCCCAAATGCATTTCCAGTCACCAGCATTCTTTTTCTTTCTTTCTCTCTCTCTTTTTTTTTCATGATGGAGTCTCGCTCTGTCGCCCAGGCTGGAGTGCAATGGTGCAATCTCGGCTCACTGCAACCTCTGCCTCCCAGATTCAAGCTATTCTCCTGCCTTGGCCTCCCAAGTAGCTGGGACTACAGGCACACGCCACCACACCTGGCTAATTCTTTTTATATTTTTAGTAGAAACAGAGTTTCACCATGTTAGCCAGGATGGTCTCCATCTCCTGACCTTGTGATCCGCCCAGCTCAGCCTCCCAGAGTGCTGGGATTATAGGCGTGAGCCACTGCGCCCCACCCAACATTTTCTAGTAAGAAAATACATAAAATTTTCAGAGGCGTGTAAACCATTGCAATTCCATCTTGAATAGGGGCTGGGTAAAGTAAGGCTGAAAGCTACTGGGCTGCATTCCCAGGAGGTTAAGCCTTCTAAGTCACAGGATGAGATACAGGTCTCCAAGACCTTGCTGATAAAACAGCTTGCGGTAAGGAAGCTGGTCAAAGCCCACCAAAACCAAGATAGCAACAAAAGTGACCTCTGATTGTCCTCATTGCTCCCACGAGTGCCGTGACAGTTAACAAATGCCATGGCAACATCAGGAAGTCATCCCCTATGGTCTAACAAGGGGATGAACACTCAGTTCCCAGAATTACCCCCAAAACTCACGAATAATTCACCTCTTGTTTAGAATGTGATCAAAAAATAACTACTAAGTATCCTTAGGCAAGCAGCCCAGGCGACTGCTCTGTCAATGGAGTAGTCATCTTTATTCCTTTACTTTTTTTTTTTTTTTTTTTTTTGAGAGGGAGTCTCACTCTTTCACCCAGGCTGGAGTGCAGTGGTGCGATCTCAGCTCATTGCAACCTTCACCTCCAGGGTTCAAGCGATTCTCTTGCCTCAGGTTGCCGAGTAGCTGGGATTACAGGCACACACTACCATGCCTGGCTAATTTTTGTATTTTGAGTAGAGACAGGATTTCACCATGCTAACTCTGCTCTTTTGATAAACTCTCTAAGACTCCCAAACAGAGGCCATAACCCTCTTGCTTTTCAAGCCTAGCAATCTCCTACTCAGATAAGTACAACGCAGGGTCAGAAAGAACGATTTCTTCCCACAGGAAGAAAGTAAGATGATGAGAAATAAGAGAGCCAGGTTTGAACAAACAAGCAAAACCCAGCTACTGTGTCAATAGTTCTCAGGGAAACAGAATGGCATGTATGAAAATGAGGTAAATGGGCCAGGCGTGGTGGCTCAAGCCTGTAATCCCAGCACTTTGGGAGGCTGAGGCGGGTGGATAACCTGAGGTCAGGAGTTTGAGACCAGCCTGACTAACATGGAGAAACCCCATCTCTACTAAAACGTAGAAAAATTAGCTGGGTGTGGTGCCATGCACCAATAATCCCAGCTATTTGGGAACCTGAGGCAGGAGAACCGCTTGAACCTGAGAGGTGGAGGTTGCGGTGAGCCGAGATCACACCATTGCACTCCAGCCTGAGCAACAAGAGCGAAACTCTGTCTTAAAAAAAAAGCGGGGAGTGGGGGGCGGTAAATGAACATACGATATACCAGGGTACTTGACGAGACAAGGAAATCATGGTCACTGTCTTG